ATACATTATGCTATGCTCCCCACAAGTGTAGCTACCATCTGTTACCATACAATGTTATTACAACATCATTAACTATATTCCCTATGATGTACATTTTATTCACGTGATTCATTCATTCCATAACTGGAAGCCTGTATCTCCCACTCCCCTTCACCCATTTTGCCCATCCCTTCTATCCCCTTTCTTCTGGCAACCCTCAGTTTGTTGTCTGTATTTATAGGTCTGATTCTGCCTTTACACGTGGTTTATTTATGAGCTCTTGATTTTGTTCAGTTGGTCTATGTATCTGTTTTTATGCCAGTTCCATAGTGTTTTGATCACTATAGCTTTGTAACATAATTTGAAATCAGGAAGTGTGATGCCTTCAGCTTTGTTCTTTCTTAGGATTTCTTTGGGTATTGCAGGGAAGGGGGTGGTTTTCTGTGATTTTTTTTATTTCTTTTTTTTTTTTAATTTTTTTTTCAACTTTTTTTATTTATTTTTGGGACAGAGAGAGACAGAGCATGAACGGGGGAGGGGCAGAGAGAGAGGGAGACACAGAACCGGAAACAGGCTCCAGGCTCTGAGCCATCAGCCCAGAGCCTGACGCGGGGCTTGAACTCACGGACCGCGAGATCGTGACCTGGCTAAAGTCGGACGCTTAACCAACTGTGCCACCCAGGCGCCCCTTTTTTTTTTTTATTTCTGTGAAAACCAGCATTGGAAAAAAATGAGAGACATGCCCCCCAGACTGCCACTGTAAGTGAATGTGAGCTTCAACATCTCAGATTCGCTGTTGCTTCATGTAAGACCAGGGACCTCTTGTAGATACCTGAGCTCAAACTCATCCTTCAGAAATGTAATCTCTAATTTAGGACTTCAAAATCTGTAGAAACTATGTCTAAACCCTATTGTTATAACATAAAGAGTCCTTTGGTTGCTAATTTATTCAGTCATGAAACCAGTCCTTGCTGATACTTAGCAGGTCTAGTGCTCAACCTTGGGAATTCAATGATGAATAAGGAAGACAAAATCCTTGTCCTCACAGAGCCTTACACATTCTAGTAGGAGTGATATACTACAAATAAGTAAATAAATGACTATATAATTCCAAGTTATGTTATGTGTTGTACTGATGTCCACCAGTCAAAGACCACTGGAAATACACTCACATGAAGTTAGGTTTATTGATACTGGAGATCTCATTCTTTGGGAAATCATGTGGCCTCTCAATAAGAGGGTTTAAGACTTAGGCTTGTGCTGAGTGCTTTGGGGAATATTCCAGAAGTATAGTTTTCTCTGGTTTGGGTGTTATCAAAAAGCAAGGGCAATTCTGCTTAGGTATTATAATAGTTTTCATCCAGGAAGTAGAAGAACAGAGCAAAATTAATGCAATAGTTGCTAAAGAAGCAGCGATCACTCAAATTATGTGATAAAGGAGCATGTTTGATCATTTTTGTGGTTTATAGTGCTCTTGTTTTTGTTTTGCTCTGACATGATTTCCTCAGAGTAGGCTTGTTGATTGTCTTTTGCCATCACAGTTAGAGTGACCCAGTCTAAAGTTTTAGTTCAGTGAAATTGTTAGTGTTTAACAGGAGAAACCTGAGGCCAGGTCCCAGGTGATGGCTGTCATTGACTTTATTTTTTCTTTTTCAAATATTCAAAATAAATAGAGCAAGTGGAGATATTGACTCATGAATGAAGGTTATTTAAGACAGGATATACATAAGTGCAGAGATCTGATTGCTGTGAAGAAATAAACCATGAGAAGGCCCAGAAACGACCGTAACAATTAAAATAATGGTTGAGATGTTGTATCAACAAGGTTAAAAAATACAGTGCCCTAAGTAAGTTAGAATGCATTTCTCTGTCAAGTAACAGTATGGCTGGCCCCGGATGGTGAGGCAGCTTTTCCACACAAAGTTGTTTAAGGATTAAGCTCTATCAATCAATGCCATCCTCAAGAAAATGATATTCATTTGTGAGGCTAAAATCAATTCATATTCAAGACATAAAACATTAGGAAAAAAGTTTAGGGAATGAAGTTTCTGTTTAAGTTATAAAAGACCCACCAGTTGAACACACCTTTTTTCCACTCAATATCCCATTGGCTTCAACTTAACCATCCCTACCTACATGTAGTCTCTAGCTGGGTGTTTTCAAAGGCTCATATGGGATAGAAGATCAGGATGTTGAGGGTTTCAAGACAGTGATTTTAGTTTTGGCTCACAAAATCTAAGCCAAGTAAATTGCAAAGTAAGGCCATAAGCAAAAGGTATTAAGAGTGAAGGAAGTTGAAATAATGGATTTGTCAGAGTGAGAGTGTTAGGTTATACGAACTGGAGTGAAAAGATGATGTGTAGAGTGTAGAATGCTTATAATTGAGATTTTGGAGAGGTTGAAGGTATTGGTAGTAAAAGTTCTATGGCATGACCATAAAGTGATTGATGATGAACAGGATAGAATTTTTTTAATTTTTTTTTTTTTTTTTTTTACTTTGAGAGAGAGAGAGAGAAAGAGAGAAAGCAGGGAAGGAGCAAAGGGAGAGAGAAAGAATCTTAAGTAGGCTTGAAGTCCATCGTGGAGCCCAGTGTGGGGCTCAAACTCAAGGCTATGAGATCATCATCTGAGCCAAAATCAAGAGTCCAACACTTAACCAATTGAGCTACCTAGGCACCTCTGGATAAAATGTTTATTACTGAAAGTATAGATGTCAGGAGCTAAGAAGGGATATTATTGGATGGCTCTTGTGCATGTATGTGGAAATCCTCAAGGATATTGGATGAAGCGAGTAATTAAGACATCAGTAGTTGCTGAAAACAGAGGATTCACATGAAATTGTGTTATGCTCTGTAGTTTTTGAAAGAGAAAGAAAAAAAATGATATGAAAGTGGCCAGAAGAACTGCTAAATATAGGGTGTTATAAATATATTCCAAGCTCCATTCTAAGCATTTTATGTGTATGAGACCATTTTGTCCCCCTCCAAACCCAATTATTATTCATATTTTATAGTTGAAGAAACAGAGGTTAAAGTTGTCCAAGGTTATTAGTGAATAGTGGGGCTGAATCTGACATCCTGACTCAAGAGTATGCACTCTTTTTTTTTTAATATTTATTTATTTTTGAGAGAGAGAGAACTCGCACCAGGGAAGGGCAGAGAGAGAGGGAGACAGAGGATCTAAAGAAGGCTCTGTGCTGAAAGCAGGGAGCCAGATTTGGGGCTTGAACCTCACAAACTGAACAGTGAGATCATGACCAGAACCAAAGTCAGATGCTTAACACACTGAGCCACCCAGGCTCCCCCAGAGTAGTACTCTTAATTACTGGGAAGTAAATTTTATCTTAGGATCAGTGTCTTTGGTACTTCTTAATGTTGAAGCTGATAAGATGGTGAAAGATGGTTGGCTAGCAGTCATTAGAAGTCATGGTTTTACCAGAAAAACTCAGACTCGGGCTGTTGCTGTATCCTACTGAGGGTTTAGCCTAGGCAATCTTATCAAAGGTACATGAAGTTCTGAAGCCTCCTTCATTCCACAACTTAAATCCTGATATTTTTCCTCTTGGATGACTATGAACTAGGTTGCAGCCCTGTGAGGAGAGGACTTTCAAGGCACTTACAAGAGTGAGAACCTAAAAACCCACAGCTATTGGCAGAATGTATAGACCGTGAGGGCGTATGAGTCCGTAAGTATGGTCTTAAACGAAATTTATGAGGAATTATTTCAAGTATTCCTTCTGGCTCAAACATGTTTTCTACTTGGAAAAAAACAATAGTCACACAAATTCCTCAATGAATTGAAAACTAAAGTTATCATTTACTGTATCAAAGTGTGTGTGGGGGAAGTCAGTAAAGGTAACTCTTCTTTTTTTTTTTCTTTTAATTTTTTTTTTCAACGTTTATTTATTTTTGGGACAGAGAGAGACAGAGCATGAACAGGGGAGGGGCAGAGAGAGAGGGAGACATGAATCAGAAACAGGCCAGGCTCTGAGCCATCAGCCCCAGAGCCCGACACGGCTCGAACTCACGACCGCAGAGACTCTGAAGTCGGACGCTTAACCGACTGCGCCACCCAGGCGCCCCAGTAAAGGTAACTCTTCTAATGGAAGTGCATTTTCAGAGAAACGTGGTTCTGATGGATCACTGTTTTTTACTAGCCATTAAGTTTAGTTAACAGAAAGACAAATGCAGCTGAAGATCATTCATTAAGATAGGCATAATTGACAATAGTTCATTAATCATCCTTTTAAGATGATCCTATTTTATCACTATTACCTTCCCCATATCTGAGAGAGTTATGTGAGTCTTGAAAAGAACATGTAGTTCTCTCAATTAAATAAATAAATATATATATATATATATATATATATATATATATATATATATATAACAAATAATAAAAGAAGTACTATTACTTTGTTTTGGGTTTATGCTGTATAGGTTAGACTTTGCCATAGGACTCCATTATAATCCTTCATAATTTGGTTTAAAATGTCGAACATTTTGGGGCACCTGGGTGGCTCAGTCAGTTAAGCATCCGACTTCGGCTCAGGTCATGATCTGACGGCGCGTGAGTTTGAGCCCCACGTCGGGCTCTGTGCTGTCAGTCCAGAGCCTGGAGCCTGCTTCAGGTTCTGTGTCTCCCTCTCTCTCTACCCCTCCCCTGCTCACACTCTGTCTCTATCAAAATAATGAATAAATGTTAAAATTTTTTTTAAATGTCCAACATTTTGACTGTTTAAACAAACCACTAAGTGCTTTGCAAAATTACAACACATTCTTTATGTGACTTAATTAATATCTACTCCAATTATACACAACACATTATCATGCTCAAGATCTAGATTTATTTTAAAACATTTAGTCCAATTTATATTAACGCAGAAAAATCACATCCAATAAACCACGATAGTAAGAAGAGACACAATAGTTGTGTACTGTCACATTACCACACAAGTATAACTTGATATTTAAGTGAAGGATTATAAATCACAATCACATATAAATAAAATATTTATCGTCTCAGTAGTAGTAAGAACCTCTTTTGAGTATGTAGGGTCTTCTAGGTTTATTCTCATATAGCTGACGTTTCAGAATGTAAGGAATTTTTCTCTTTATAACTTCTTCCTTTTCATTTTTGTCATTTCCAGCATCAAGAACATCCTCCTGAATTAACTGCAAGAGAGGCAGAATATGAATCAAACTTACATGTGGCATGTCTTTCAGGGTATTTTGCTATATTTCATCTCATTTGCTATTCAGACAGTAAGACATACATGGATAAGATATATGAGGTTTAAGACAATTAAATGTTTTGTCCAAGGACAGATGACTGTCAACTGAGACGGGATGAGAACGTGGTTTTACTGATTCTCTGTTCAAGGCCATACACTGATACCTCCAACTGAAGCAACATAACTAGTACATCTTCGAGTATGTTTCAGGCTTTAATTTTTGATAGAGAGACTAAAATGTTATGAAAATATATCATAAATCACAACACACATAGAGTTTTGAATTCAGTAAGTCATGTTTGGCCTTAAAAGGCAATAGGATTTTATATTTCTTGAAGTTAATTACTGACTTGTCTTGAAAATCATTCCAAAGATCCATTTCTCAGTCTCAGAGAGAGGACTGTTTGCTCTGCTTAGCTTAGTTGTTGTAGAAATTAACACATGTGAAACAGTAAAGGTCTCTTTAGATTGTGGTGCTTAATAATTAGAAGCAAATTCAGATTCAGTAACGTTAGGGAGTTCATCTCCATGTAGAATCTTACCAAAATCTCATTAAATATGCCACATTCTAACATTAGTTCTGAATACTTCTTTCTGGTATAGTTGCGATTCACAAATTTCAGCTAGCAGAAAATATTTAGAACTCTTCCCAGAATTTTGCACATAATTTATGTGAAATTTAAAAAAAATGTTCAAGATAAAAATTGTATTTGTACTTGTGATTATCCTCTAAACTTTAGGGTCATTATAAGAAAAACTAACAAGAGGTTAAGTTTTTAATTTTAATGCATATGAACTGAATCCTATCACCAAGTACTTTATTTCAACCCACAGCTATTCAGTTTCAGAGAAGGAAAACGAACTACTGTTAGACAACCTAATTTCTTAATTGCATGTTTGTCTGTGAACATAATCTATAATTTGTAGTATGTTCTAAATGATATTATAGTTTTTGTTTTAAATCGCTCAATAACATTTAAAATAGCAAAAGTTCTAATCTTATGAGCACCTGATTTGTGTGTATAATAGTTATTGAGTTGTTGTTGTTTTTAATCCCTGGATAAATAGCACACAATTGACACTTCCCTATGTTAAAATTAGCATTTTTCAAGTTTTATGGACTTAAACAATATTTTGAAGACTAAGTTATTTAGCTGGAATTAGAATTAAGAGATGAGTAGTAAAATTAAACCTAGCTTTTTCGGTCTTTCATCTAGAAAACATCTTTTTGTCTGCAAGTTAGAATAAACACTAGAAGTTCTGTCTTGCATTTCTTCTTTTCCACAAGGTATTTTTCTGATACTCGTATATAAGGATTGTTATATTAGCAGCAAAGACACCCTCAGAGTCCCAATGTTGGTGTTAACCCAAAATATAAAAGATGAAGCAAATCTCTCTTAGAGATTAATATGAGAGAAATGGTTTCCTTGTTGGGAAATTTATTTTTTTACTTACCTATTTAAATGTTTATTCAAGAGAGAGAGCGAGGATAAAAGAAGAAGCAGAAAGAGAGAATCTCAAGCAGGCTCTGAGTTATCAGCACAGAGCCCAATATGGGGCTCAAACTCAGAGCTCACAAAACATGAACCAAAATCAAGAGTCGGAGGCTCAAGCACCTGAGCCACCCAGGTGCCTCCCCACCTTTGTTGGGAATTTTTTTTTCTTTAAAGCATTTTCATTTCTGCGGCACCTGGGTGGCTCAGTTGGTTGGACGTCCAACTTTGACTCACGTCTGATCTCACCCTTCATGAGTTTGAATCTGGCATAGGGCTCTGTCCTGACAGCTCAGAGCCTGGAGCCCCCTTAAAGATTCTGTCTCCCTCTCTCTCTGACCCTCTCCCACTCTGTGTCTCTCTCTCTCAAAAATAAATAAACATTTAAAAATAAATAAAAAAAATAAAGCATTTCATTTCTCTTTCCCTCCTTCAAAGTAACACATATTCTAAAACCAAAGGCAATAAATCACTAGTATGGCCTTAAATACAACTGACTCATCCACTACTTAAGTGTAGTTGTGTATAATGGATTTGGCTGTCTTGGCTGTTAGTGGACCTAATTTAGAGGCTAAAGATGCCTAAAATCCATGTATTCAACTGAAATAGGAATATATACATACATGGATTTTTTCCAGTTTTATCTGCTTAATATATTCAAATACAAATTGAAACTTTGTGTTTTATGTTTTGTGTTTGTTTATAGATAATACACATGACTTCGTGTTTTTAAGAACACATTTTGAGTCCTTAAATTTTGTAGGCACACCACCGCCACAAATTGCCTGAGTATGCCATTCGTTTAAGCACAATAAAAGCATGTGGATCAAATCTGCCTTAGGATATTACTCCCCCCCTTTTAAGACTGAAGTAATAATATTTTGCCAAACTCCAAATATTTGAAGGACACTTTGAAGATCTGAAGGAATGTTAACCTCAACACATGGTTTATTCTTCTTTAATATTTGTAAGTCTTCCTGTTATGATAATGATCGCAGTGAAAAAAAATCAGTACAAATGAGAGCTAACTAGTATAACGATAATTATATTCATATTTTGTTTTTGCTTTACCTCCCAGTGTTGAAAGGCCCTGCTGTGGCAGATTTTTTGGAGCTGGTATATTGTCAACATCGCTTCCAAGCTAAAGCCGTCTAAGGCAGTGGGAAATTTCCTTCTTGTAATAAGCTCGTCTTCTTGAAGCTCCCCTGTTTCCTCAGCTTGGCTGTTCAGGTTATTTACAAAACTGCAAACATTTAGAAGGGTCATTTTCCAAGAAGAAACACCTGCTTTATTGGTCTGAAATATAGAAAAAAACAGGTACTTAAAATTTTAAAAAGTAGGTAATTAAATCTTGTGTCATATGGATAAGAAATGAATTTCCATTGTGCGAAGCCATTACATTTTAGGGCCTCATTGTTACTCCAGCCTAATAAACACACTGTTATTAGTTTAGTAACTTTATATCGCAGAATTGATTAGTGCCAATTCCTCATACATTCTATTTTTTAAAATGTAATACAGTTATACACAGGCACACATACATAAGCAAAGCAAAAATTTTGAAATAATAGTAAGTGCAAATGTATAAATATATATGTATGCATCACAGATAAAATTTTAAAAATACCAAATTTACCAGAGTTTAGTGTCTAATGGAGCATGGACTATGATGATATTAATAGATTTGCACAATTACAATAATGCAGGATCACTAATCTATTCCATACATTGATAATTCTCATAAATAGCAACACAGCTGATCAATTTATTTATTTTCAAATAATAATATTTTCTAGAATTACTATTTTTTTTCTAATAGGATAGGGTCTGAAACCACTATTTTAATCAATAATTTTCCTGTGTGCCAATAGTAATAAACAAGGAAACATAAGGACTTAGGAGAAACTAAATGTGAAATAAGAAAAAATAACAAAAATTGCAAAGGGCATAGATGAAGGAAAGCATACATTTTTCTTAAAGACACACACACACACACGTACGTGAATGACCACACAACCACGATGGGAAGATTGAATAACAATACTATCATATGTCAACTCTCTCTGAATTATTCCCCAACTGTAATGCAATTGCAAATCAAAGTTCCAATTTGGAAAATATGGGAAGACTGGAATTTGGCGGTAGGGATTTGGCAAAGTAATTATAATGTTAATTTGGAAGTATGAATGTGTGAGCATAAGCAAGAAGATTTGGAAAAATAAAATGTAATGAGGGGGAACTTACTCTACCAGTTAGTGGAATTTATTTCAAAGACTCAGTAATCAAAGGAGAGAATTAATAAAACAAGAGTAAACATTAAACCCAACAGAAGAAAATATAATATCCCCAAAATTAGTCCAAATACAAATGAGTTTATAGCATACAGCAAAGTTTGCATTTGAAATCCTTGGGACAGTAGGCTATCAGGAAACCTGGACTTACATCTACTTATAACTTTATTGACATATAGTAGTCTAACAATATGCAGATGGGTTAAATATGAGTAAAAATAAAATAATGTGTAAATTATACAGAATTTACTCTATAAACCTAGATTATTAAGCAAATATCCAAACCATGATCCACAAAGAAAAGGATAACTTTAAACACATAAATGTGTAAAACATCTCTGGAAAATTAACAGCCTGAACTAACACCAGAAGCAAGCTATACGGTAAAAGCTGCCACAAATATTAATATCCTTAACACAGGTAGAGCTCTTCAAAAAGAAACTGTTGAATCCACAAATTAAAAAAAAAATAATAAAAATAAAAATTTTAAACCTTGGATAAGTGATATAAGTAAACAAGTCACAGATCACTCATCAAAGAAGAAATATGTGGAAAGAACTTGGCCACCATCAGCTCAGAAGACTTTCAAAGGCTAGGTACATTTGTTAGTGTAGTTATAGGGACATGGAGAAACAGACACTTCCTTTTCTAAATATTTGTTGATCTGGGTGTAGATTGTTATAACTTTTTGAAGGATGTACTGCATTAAAATTGAAAACATGCACGCACACCCTTTGATTAAGCTTTTATCCTAAGAACATGCAAATATATGAGTATAAATATATTTACTTGAAAATATTATTATGATATATAATAATGTAATATACAATGGTTTTAACCAGTTTGGAAATACTTTCAACTATGCTCCTTGAATACGATTTTCCAGCCATTGCTTAAACTTTTCTGATATGGGAAACTTAGAGACAACATGCTCCATTATCTGGCAGCAATGCCTTATATCATACCAATTAATGGAATACCTTAATTTTACATTTTCTTCTTCTTTTTATTTTTTAAATGTTTATTTATTTTTCAGAGAGACAGAGTGAGCACAGGGGAGGGGCAGACAGAGAGGGAGACACAGAATCTGTAGCAGGCTCCAGGCTCTGAGCTGACAGCGAGAAACCATGAGATCTTGACCTGAGCCGGAGTCCCATGCTTGACTGAGCCCCTAATGGAGGGCTTTCTAAAGTGTACTTCTTAGAACACTAGTTCTGCACTCACTGTTTTTAAAAGAGTTCCACTGTCAAGTAAATTGGAAAACTTGAATTTAAAGGAAATGTAAAGATTCCTTGAACGTAGGTATCCTCAGAACCTTTTACTTGCAAATATTCATTGTAACTTTCTAATGGAGTCAATACAGTGTCAAGAGTTTCCCAAACTAATTTGACCACAGAAAGCTTTATTCATAAAGTCCAGTCAGGCAGGACTAATGTTATCTGATTCTTTCTTTTCCTTCTTTCTTTCTTTCTTTCTTTCTTTCTTTCTTTCTTTCTTTCTTTTCTTTATTTCTTTCTGAGGAAACTGAATTAATCATCTCATTTCTTTCTGCTAGTTAAAATAGTTACTACATGACTCAATAATACGATTATTTAAAGTCACATTAAAAGCACAGCTGAGAAAGTATGACTGGCTGAAGAATGTGTAAATAGATAGACATCATGTATTTGAGAACATTTTCTGTAAGGTCTCAACCATTTCGTTCAGAAAAATGGTAAAGACTCTCTTTCCTAGAATCAGGCTCTTCTAAGTCCACTTCCTGACTAGTTCCCAACCTCAGGCTCAGTCCTTAATCCACTTAGCCCAATTTTAGCAAGAATCTTGCTGAGCCTGTTTACTGCAAATGCCTCACCCATGGTATCTGATCACCCTAGATATCTGACCAAATATCAGATACTTGATGAAATTTCTGGCCCTAATATCACAATCTTGTGTCTTCTAGCAAGACTCCTTCTAGCCTTAATGTTTCCTCTTATTCCATCCACTGACCCCCCACTCTGTTTCTTGGCTATAAAGGCACACTTGCCATTGTTGTATTTGGAGTTGAGCCCAGTCTCTGCAAAACTCCCATTTCAGTAATTCCTCTTGCATAAAGTCTTCCCTATTATGTTTAGCTAGTGTCATGAATAATTTTTCTTTAACAATAAACATTCTTACTTATTACATTATTTTATACAAATGTTTATAATAGACCTAAGCCTATAGATAAGAAATTTAGAATATCATCCCTTCTTTTCAAGATAAGGAAAATGAGAATATTTGTGGTTCTTACTTACCATTACTTGATTTTAACTCTTTAATACTAAATAAGATTCTGGTCAAATTTTTGTTACCTTAATTAAATAGGAGCTAATCCATAAGACGCAGATTTATCCCCTGTAATACACTGAACTCAGATAGTCCAGCAAATTGTGAATTCAAGCATTTCACAGAATTGAAAATAATTAAAGTCATCTGTGGTGAAGCTCTGAAGTTTTATAGTCGAATACAAAATGTGACGGTTAATAATGGATCCTAGATTCCCACTGTTAGTTCAAAAATATTTATTAAACTCCTACTGTATACAAGGCATTAAATTTGATCATAGAAAATTACAACATTATAGCAGCTTTTTGAGATCCCGAAGAAAACATCCTGTACCAGGTTGTCTTTCTGAATAGAACAATAGGAAAGCACTAGCACTGGTAATAAAGAGAACCGTATTGTGAGAAAAAAAAAAAATATCTTCCACTTTTTAAGCTTTGGGCTCTCTCTCAACCTTCTGTTGCTTAAGCAAATTTTCACATTAATATTTTAATGTCTAAATAGCTTTACTTCACAAGTGAAATTCTTCACATACTTTATTTTTAAAATGGAAGGAAGAAACCTGAAGCTTTCTGAAGCTGTTCATAATGGAGTTAGTTCTACCAATATCAATTATCATTCTCTTAAATTTTTAAATGTAGTAGTTTAGTTAAAACGCTCATAAGTTTGGGGTTTCATTTGCGTAGAATGCTACACACACCAAAAATCAATTGAGTCAAGGAGAAAGAAATGATAGTAGTTCTGTAAAACATAAGGAATGAGCTTTTTGTTCCCATCCTAACAGCAAAATTGAAATAATTATGCTTCTTGGTGCTTTCTCATTATAGACTGTATTTTGCTTTTTTCAATTGAAAGGAGACAATGGGATTCAATTTTCATTCCATGATCTGTTTAGAGACATATTCCAAGATTAAATAAAAGAGAAAAAATTTATTATGCCTGTATTTTTATGTATTTATTTTTTAATTATTATCATTATTATTTTTATTTTTGAAGGAGAGAGAGAGACAGAGCATGAGCAGGGGAGGAGCAGAGAGAGAGGGAGACACAGAACTCAAAGCGGGCTCGTCTCGAGCTCACAAACCGCGAGATCATGACCTGAGCCGAAGTAGGATGCTCAACCGACTGAGCCACCCAGGCGTCCCACTTATGTATTTCTTTTTAAAAGAAAAACTAACCCACTCCATAAATTGGGATTGTTTTCCCCTTGCAACTCTAGGGAAGGAATCACAACTCTACTTTCACATTTTCACAAGGTAGCTAGCACTCTTGAAACTATACTAGCTTTCGGGGATTATTTAGGACTTTGATGTGTCTGTGTAAATTTACAATTACGGAGGTAACATCTCTACTGTGAAATTAAGTCGTTTCCTAACCTTCCCCATTTTTAAACAGAGACGATTGACTTCACTTGTCTTCCTATTTTTGGGGTGATATCATTGTCACCATTGCTCTTCTGAGTATTCAACAAAGGATCCATTGTCTTAAGGTTATTATTTGGTTATTGAGGTTTAATGACTAAACTAAATCTGATCATTCCTGATATGAAAGCTACCAAATTAAGAAAATATTTGGTGTCAGTCCATTCAGCTTTTGTAGATCTGGGCAATGGTGAAAATATATGCACTTAAATTTTCCCCAAATGTCTTTTAAGGATCATAGCTGACAATGTATCTTTGTTAGATTTCAGATAATAATACCCCCACGCTCCCAAATACTATTTCTCCTTATACCCACATAATTCTACAAATATAATAGGGATTGTTGTACCTGGAATGTGCTCACTCAGTTAAGGAAGAGAAATCTGAAGTACAAGACCTGAGTTGGGGTATTGCTTCAGAAATTAGACAGAACGTCTGAGCACTTACTTTCTTACCATAACATCTGTCGAATCCTCTGCCTTAATATCCTAGGGCTATAACAGTGATTGAACCAGGGGTCTGCCTCAATTCAAAATTTATTTTTCTTTGAGAAACATCTTTTGGTTGAGAACCCGGTTCTCTATTTCTGCCTTTAGATACCCACTAATTGACTCACTCTGGGGAAATCAGCACTGTGTGGTAGCATGGTAATCACGTATATTGTAATTGTGTTTTATTCCTAAGTACAGATGGGGATCTAGGCACCTTGTTTTCAAGACCCCAAGAGAGGAATAAAAGGGTCCAATATACAAAGTCTCAGTGGGTTCAGTAACAGCAATGAGCAGGTGTAGATGACACTTCTGTTATAGGGAGAATGTAAATCTAGGCACGGATTTGATGTAAATGTGAGATCATAAACTCCAACCCTTAAAAATAAGGAAGCAAAGGCAAGCGATGTTAACTAACCCCCTTATTTAAGATCAGATGGTTCATAAGTCACAGTTGCAGGATCAGATCTCCAAGCTTCTGTTTGCCAGTCTATTGATCTTTAGGCTCTACCACATTTCTTTCATGAATTGTCATGAACTTTCATTTTTGATTTAGAACTCCATTTTACTCTTGCCAATATAACAAAAAAGGCTAAAATGTCACTTAGCTTTCATGTATATACTTAACTTGAGGCATACCCTTTGCCATACACGATGTGATAGGAATGGAAACGGGATTCCTTTAAATACATTTTCATCTCCACATAAACAATATGTGACAACTTAATTAAAGTTGCAATATACTGATTGATAGTCACTATAATTTCTGTCCCTGTCACATCAACACCCTTAACTCTTTTGAACTCTAGGAAAATTTTCTGAAAAAGTAAATGCCTGTCTATGAACTTTTTAGTCTTGATGGGAAGTTATTAACTATAGGAAAAGGACACCATGTTTATAATAAGAGCTTACAGGTTTTTCAATCCTTGGTTAAAGAAAAAAAAAGTTACCTTTGATGTATGCATATTGGTCAATAAATCTGCTTCTAATGCTTTCATTTCTTCTTCTGAATCTGAGTAAAATGAAAACCACATGTTTACTATATAATCATAGATAATTATATTGTAACCTACAGACTTTAGATTAATCTCAAAAAACTAGTCTTAGAGGCTTATTGTTTTCCTATGTATTTATTATCCTTAAAATAATATTCAAAAAATAATTATGGTTTTATTCTGGGCTAACCGGCAGCTAGAATAATAGAAGCACTTATAAGAAGATAAACACTTGATTATATGCCAAGAGAACTATTGATATATTGAAGTTGTTTAATCACTGAATCTCAGTATTTAAAAAAAAAAAAAAGCTGATTATATCATATAAGAGAGATTTCATCAAAAATGCTGGTTAATTTTTGCCAGCAATAGTTTACATATATAGACTATATGCATATTGATATTTTAAACACACTATAATGAAAAGGTGTGTGCAACAGACTTTTTCAAGACAAACCAAAAGGAATTGTTTACTGATGATTTTAGAATAAGAAAGATACTGAGATTTAGTCAACATGAGATGCTGTTTTACAAAACATACTTTGAAAGATACGTTTTTCTACTTTAAATAAGAATTCAGAAATACGTAGTTAGCTATTTAATCACAGGCTATTAAGCAAATTGGTTAAGCAAAAGTGGAGCTGTCCTTCAGTACATGTGTAGTTGTGCTGAAAATGGACTTCTGACGTTTTTTAGGATATCCATTCCAGTTTCCACTGATGAATATATTGCAGAGAGGAAAACTTTAGAGAGTACTATATATAAGCAATAGAAATAAAGTTATAGAACACCATAGCAAGATGACTTAATTCATACTCACTGATCTGTCATCAAACAAAGCAGGGGTTACAATGACTATCTTCCTTGCACTACACACTTTTATTAAAAAGAAGTGTCACACTTAGAGGAACCACTTCTTACATTGCATCTAGGAAGTAAATTACACCAGAGATCTTTTTCTCCTCTTTGTTCAAGGCCAAATCTGTTTTTCAAAGGAATGACAAATCCCTTTAGCCATTTATGAGAAATGTACACCAAATTCCCTACAAATTTTGGCTTATTGCATCAAGAAGTTCTAAGACTGAGTGAACACAGTGTTTAATCAATAACCCAGTTTTTCTCATACATTCTCACTATACCTTTAACCTCCTATAATAACTAAAATCATAATTGTAGAAAATTTGCTATTTATATCATGGAAATTTTTGCAAAGTCAGTTCAAGATCTTTTCTAGCGATCAAAAGAAATTAAAGACTTTTCAAAATAACATTTATATCTTCTGCTAGATGTAATTTCATAATTTAAATAAAATCAGCAGGAGTTTGAATTAAACATTTCATGTCATATTTATAAAATATGAAAGTATAAAACAGGTTAAATGATTTTACTGCATTTATTCCCTATGCTTTTTTTTCCACTTTGGTGTGATCATTCAATTATTTTTCAAACATTAATTGGAACATATTGCGCCATTTCATGTTACTGTTTTAAATTTAATCTTATTTTCAAGGTAAATTATTGATAGATATTGAGCAGTACATGGTCTCTCAATTATCACATGCAAAACAATCTATAGGTAAATAATTTTTATTAATGTAAACATGCCAATTTTCCAATTACATTTTATATCAACTTAAACAGCATGCAGAAAATTAAATTAATAAGATGCTTATTTGTCACATAGACTATATAAAGTGTATTTTCAAAAAGTACTTGGAATATTTATATGTTTTTTAGAAATAATTTTCTATAAATAATGGTTCATTCATTTACTCATTAAACATCAGTTTTCACTTTGTATCTTAACATATACACACCATTCAGAAAATAATTTTGGGGAGGGAGAAGCCACTGCTTCCTAAGAGATGACTGAGGATGAGAAAAAAGCATTTTGAATGGAATGGATTCTAACTATGGTTTTGCACTTTGACAGGCACTGCCTCTGTACTTCTCATCAGATAGTGACCAGCCTAATTTAAGTTCTACACATTTTTTTTTCCCTACTCTGGTGGTCACATTCCAAAGGGAGAGCATGAAGGGTTTCATTGAAATCTTTTTATTACCTTGCAGATTTAAAAAGAGAAATGAAATCTTTCAGTTTTTGTAATCATAAAGACAGAATGAATATATTCAGTTTCTAACACTAAAAAGCAAATACAGAATAAAGAAGCAGCTCTTCTTCCCGGCTTCATTAACATAAGTAGCAGCACGGTGTAAAAAAAAAGAAAAAAAGAAATCACTTCAGGGAATTGTGAAATGCAGCTGCGCTTACCTGAGCACAGACTCCAGGAGCTGAGAGCCAGAAGTATCATGCATACCAGCTGGATTTTCATTGCTGCCATCATCTTGAGCATTCTAGCAAGCCAAGTCCATAAACGTCACAGATGCTCTGAAAGGGGCTTTCTCTAGCTCTTCCTCTGCCTTCAGCTGACTTTGAAAGTGAACTATGAGAGATGCTTTGGCCATTCCCTATATATACATGTAGAAGGATGATGTCATGATAGTACAGGGATTATCTTTTCAGGATGTGCCCTCCTTCGTCTCTACCCCTCCTCTCCTCTCTCCACTTCCTCCTCCCCTTTTCCTTTGTCCCCCCACTCGCCTCCCCCACTTCTGAACTTCAAATGAAAGTGACATCTTCCCTAATTGCTCCGGATTTCTGACGCACAGGAGTCATTCGAAAGCAATTCCATATAGAGCATACTGGAAAAAACTTACAGGATCTCTTTTGCCCCATTTCCTCTCATTCCTGACTCCAAGAAGTTGTTATCTTGATTTTGTGAAGCATGGGATCTGATATTTCTAATATAAATACAATCTCCAGGATAAATGCATGAAATCAGTGATTTTTAAGGCTTGGAAGTGCTTAAGGAGTTGGGGTTCTTTTCTGGTAACCCACACTTGTGAGCAAATGTTTTGTGATTTAGGGACTAATATAGGTTTTAGATAATGAATGCTAGAAAAAGGGAGAAACTGGAAGATGATCAGAGAATCAGTTAAGATATAGGGATTAAGAAAAAATACAATTAAAAAAGAAAAACTAGGGGCGCCTGGGTGGCTCAGTCAGTTGAGTGTCCAACTCTGGCTCAGGTCATGATCTCACAGCTCGTGAGTTCAAGCCCCACGTCGGGCTCTGTGCTGACAGCTCGGAGCCTCGAGCCTGCTTTGGATTCTGTGTCTCCCCCTCTCTCTGCCCCTCTCTGGCTCATGCTCTGTCTCTCTCTCTGTCAAAAATAAAAATAAATATTAAAAAAAAACAAACAAACTAGTAGCTCTAAGGAATAGGACATTATTTCCTAACACATTGTAAGTTTTTATTTTAAGTAACTGGGAGAATGACTGAATTGTGTATGTCGACTTTTGGTTAAACGTCTTAGAAAAACAATGTCATGTCTATGAAATCCAACTGTAAATTATTTGTCTGTTAATAGGTGGAAATGCATATTATTATATCACTGATTGATGTTTTCTGATACTTTACTCATTTTTCTGTCTGCATTGCTCTGCCCCTTTTGGATTCATTGGATGCTATATCCTAACCTTCTTATAACCCCTTCTCACTGTTTTTCACCATTGCATAATTTTTTTCCCTGTTACAAAAGTGAAGTTGTACTTTTGGAAAGGAAACAACCCTAAATAACCACGATCTACCAAAGTCAGATTTCTGAGACAGTGTCTTCACATCTGACTTTGTAAGCCACAATCATGCTCATTTCCTAGGTTCTCAGGAAAATAATTGCTTTTTTGAAGTGAAGCTTTCTTCTTGCATTATTTCAAGATACATGGAATGATCTGAAAATGGGACGCTGTTAGGAATGTGGATATTTGAAGGTAAAAGTGTCTGAGACTTGTTCATGTTTTAAATATATCAATCATGTAAAATGATAGACAAAATAATCTGGATTATTCTCTGTAGAGAGTTGATTTATATTTTATGGTATATTCTATGATAGTAACTTCTCTATTTTACCTTAAACTTAAGAAAAAGAGTAAATTCCAAACATTTAGAAATTATTTAAAATAGCAAGGAATCATTCATATAATTTAATGTTCAGGAATTTAACAATAGGTGATATTTCTATTACTTTTAATTTGTTTTATGAACTTAACATAAAACACAATATTGAACATGACTCACTTGAAAAAATTTCAATGAATGAAGGGTAATTGGCAAAGAAATGTGAAATGTATACTTCTAAACATTTGCTTTCCTACCACAAGAGGGCGCAACAGAAATTTAAAAGGTTTTTTTTTATTTACACTTAATTAGAATTCTGAGGATTATATATACTTTCTTCTCATTATCTTAGTGATAGAATCTTTTAAAGCCACTTTGATAAAAAAAAATAAAGGAACTTTATATTATTATTCTTTGCGTGATAGTTAAATTAGTTGTTTTATCTGCTTTTGGATTGCCAATACAAAGAATAATCTTTAAAAAATGTGTGATAGCAGCCTACTCGTAAGAAGGAAGTGCGATTCCTATTGTCCTCATGTGATTAATAAATAAAGCTCAAGTGAATGTTGACAAAATATCACTTGAATATAGCTGTAAATGTGAGAATTGTTTTAAATATATAATAAATCTGAAAGAATTGAGGGAAAATGTGTTAACTAATGTCAAATGATCCAAAATCAAATAGATGCTAGAAACTATTTTTCTTCTAAAGGAAAAAAAGATAAGTAAATTTTTGTGGTAAAATTATGATATAGATAAACTTTATCTGATCTCTATTTTCTCTATGTATCTTTTAAAAAATCTGTTAACTCCCCCCTTCCTTTTTTTTTTTTTTTTTTTTTTTTTTTTTTTTTTAGCTCTGGTGACTTCAAGCAATAGAAAAGCCAATTAAATGATTTGTTTTAAGAGAGTAGGCTATGTGTAGATATTTGCCTTTAAAAAATATTCTAGAAAGTACCCAAGTGATGCTTTTAAAGCAGGATTTGAGGTGTTTGCCTATAAAAATGGGTAAACTATTTTTACTTTATTTTTTAGGGTTTATTTATTTATTTTGAGAGAGAGTGAGAGAGAGAGAGCAGGGGAAGGGCACAGAGAGAGAGAGTCCCAAGCAGGCTCTGCACTGTCAGCACAGACCCCAACACAGGGTTCCATCTCACCATGGTCTCATGGTGAGTTCATGAACTAGGCCAATATCAAGAGATGGACACTTAACTGACTGAGCCACCTAGGTGCCCTAATTGTTTCTAACTTGAAGGCTTTCTGCCCAAAATCCCACTAACATTTATTTAGCTCTTAAAATAACTTATGGAGTTTGAACATCACCCTTTGATAGTCTTGATGTGTTGGCCTTCCAGTTTGAGGTCACCACAAGTAGCTAACTCTAAAGGGGTTTGTATATTTACACATCTAAATAAGTTTATCTGGGTACCTGTAGATCACAACATCCCTACCTGTGTAGATTTCAGAGCTTCTAGTGTGAATTAAGTCAGATTGTTATTAGGTAATTACTTAAAATCATCCACAGAAATGGCTGAAACATTGGCATTTGGAAAGAGTGGTCTGGAACAGACTTATTTTATTTGGAGATGGGAAGGCTCAGAAACAACTTGATGAATTCTTCTGTTCCAGATGATTTCTTCCTGTAATTGTGGAGGCTTTGTCATCCTCATCAACAGCTTCCTGAGCTCACTAGGATTTTAATACCTTAATACCTAAAACTTTCCCTGTGGTGTTTCTACCATCTGGAATCTGCCTCCCATCTTCCCTTTGACCTCCGTGTTGTCATTTCTGACACTATCTCTCATTTTTTAAAAGACTGTATTTTATGGCCTTATAAAAGTAAACCTTTCCGAGTTTGAATTCTGACAGTAGTTTCATCTACTACTCTCCCCAGTTTCTACTAAATGCTCATCTCTTTGTGACAAACCATGAAGGAGAAGAGAATTTGCCACCCCAAAATATGTCCCTTTGGCATATTGAGTCTCTTGAAATGGTTATTTTTAAGAAACAGCAGACACAGAAGCTCTGAAAAACATGTAGAAGTTACCTTTTTGTAAGAGATATTTGTGTTAATAAGGAAAATCTCCATTTGTAAGGGTGCCTCCCCCTCTGTACCAGAGAGAGAAAGATGACAAACTCTCTAGAAACTCTTATCAGTGGAGAAGGACTTAAATCTGCACAGCTGCCTTACACTTGTTTATGGTGCTTTTCTCGGTAGTCTTCCATAACTGACTCCCTCATCCGCCTCAACATTGTCTTATGTCTTTAGCTGGAGATGGTATTTAAGGTGGTGGGTTGGCCATTTGGGTGAGTTATCTCCCATGGATATCTCCCATGTTTACAGGAGGTAGGCATGTTATTAAACTTCTGTTTGTTTTTTCTCCTGTTAATCTGTCTTTTATTATGGGGTTTCTTAGCCAAGAACCTAGAAGTGTAGAGGGAAAATTATTTTTCCTCCTCTATGACTATAAACTTCTAGAAGGATAGGATCGTATTCATCATTGTATTCTTGCAAGGCTTACAGTCTATTCAACATATATTTACTAAATTGAACTGAAATAGTAATTATTTTAAATTTCTCACATATTTTTCCATGTTTCCATTTGTACCATCTCTTTCAGCCACATCTCTACTTTAATTTCAATTTAAAACTCCTTTATTGTCACTAGTCTTAATATTTGATGTGAGCCTTCAACTAAGTCAGTTTTCTCAACTTTTTCTCTAGTCATTCTTCCCCCCCCCCCACCCTCCAGATGGGAAAGTCAACTTTCAAAAATTATTTATGAAGAACACCCTGGGATCATGTGCACTCATCAGCTGACTACTTACGATAAGTTGTGGGCTTACTCCATTCCTCTAAATGAGCCTCTGGTTGTAACTGTAACTCTGATTCATCTGAACAAACAATGATGTCAATCTCTTTGTAAACTCAATTGATTTTTCCATTCAATTAAAATCCATTTTCCAGACATACAGTTATGTGCATGTACACACCCACACCCACATATACTATCTTACACATGAAATGCATGTAACCCAGACATTGGAGACTTAGGTAAATGTAAACCAAATGCCCAATGTCTTCATCTATGTGTAACCATGCCTTGCCCATAATCTCTGTAAATTCCAAGCTCATTTCCCTTTGGCTCTTCCTATCTCCACTCTTGCATCTTTATAGGTAATTAACTTGGAAAAACTGATGATGGATTTTGGAGTCAAGCGTATTTTGCAACTTAAACTCCAATTATAACACAAGCTTTGCCTACAATCCACACGTTAATGAGCTGCCATATTTAACTAAGGATGCTCCACATTGTAGTTACTATTGATCATACTTATAATCTTCTCATATCAAAGAAAATATTGAGATGCTCACAAAATCACTACACCCCATGT